CTGGATGCGCTTTTATACTTTCTGGTGCTTACGTCACCCCGCTCGTGACGTCTCGCTACTCCATTGGGCTGATTTGACACGTGCTTCAGAACACGGTCACGCAGAGGCATTCCCAAAGCGACTTCTTCTCGAAGAAGTTCTGCTCGAGTTCCTGAAGGGGAAACACCAACAGCCATTCGTGGCAAGTGGGGATACTGCAGGCTGGGGCGATGGGTGTGGAGAAAGGTCTTCGTGATTAGTCGACAAAGCTGTCTGTCAGGGTGTGGGGGGTAGGGTTAGGGCTGGCTTAAGGGTAGTTTCTGTTGTACTGATTCACCTTTTGGAACGCCTCCTTTCGGCACGCCCATTGCGCCAGGCTGCTGCTACCCCTGTCTCATTCGTGTTGGAGCTTTCACGTGGAGAATTTAAAGGAACACTCCACTATTTTTGAAAATAGGCTAATTTTCCAACTCCCCTAGAGTTAAACAGTTGAGTTTTACCGTTTTCGAATCCATTCAGCCGATCTCCGGGTCTGGCGGTAGCACTTTTAGCTGTAGCTTAGCATAGATCATTGAATCTGATTAGACCGTTAGCATCTCGCTCAAAAATGACCAAAGAGTTTCTATATTTTTCCTATTTAAAACTTGACTCTTCTGTAGTTACATCGTGTACTAAGACCGACGGAAAATGAAAAGTTGCGATTTTCTAGGCCGATATGGCTAGGAACTATACTCTCATTCCTGCGTAATAATCAAGGAACTTTGCTGCCATACTATGGGTGCAGCAGGCGCAATGATATTACGCAGACCCGGTAGTGTAGGCTACCGCCAGACCCGGAGATCGGCTGAATGGATTCGAAAACGGTAAAACTCCACTGTTTAACTCTAGCGGAGTTGAGCTAAAAGTGCTACCGCCAGACCCGGAGATCGTCTGAATGGATTCGAAAACGGTAAAACTCAACTTTTTAACTCTAGGAGAGTTGGAAAATTAGCCTATTTTCAAAAATAGTGGAGTGTTCCTTTAAAAACACAAAATCTGAAATTGACACGTCCTCTATTGGTATTCAGTGATATTGTAGCTTCTGCATGTGAAGTTTAGCTGACTTGTAGACATGAGCAGTAAAGGTAAAATCTTTGCGTGGCAGAAGCAGCTGCCTGCCACAAAGATCTGCCACCACTGAATGCGCCTGCCACTCGAAGATTTTACTCCCTCTCGACCTGAGTACAAGTTGTTTGTTTTTGCATGTGTTGTTTCTCATGAGAAGAGGAGCACATGTGGGAAATTTCAAGCCTGTAGTTCAATTATGCCGTTATAAGGCAACCACATAATGGTTATTGAGATTAATTTAAGCCTTGCAGACCAAACACTCAATGCAACACATCAAGCTAGTGCAAAACATCTGAACACTTTCAATGTCTTTAACAACATTTATGGATGAACTTCCGAAAATACATGTTTTTTATATTTTATTTGTAAAGGGCTAAGAATTTTCATGCTTTTTATTTCCAATGTGTGAACAGCTTGTAATGAAACTTATTTCTCATGTGGACGTCTGTATTTACATGGCACCTCAGTGATAAAACTCATGGATTCGGTTGGCGAATTATTATTATTTTTTCCACAGTGCATAAGCAAATTTCTGTCTAGAATATTCTATCTCTCAAAATGTTGGATGTCAATAAAAAGGTGGAGATTAGCAGAAAAAAAGTTAATGCTACCTCTTATTTACATGAGGTACCTGTTTGGTTTATATTTTTATGTAATTGTATGCCTATTGCATATTTTAAAATTGTATTGCATACCTGTTGCTGCCATAGAAATTAATGACCCATTTCATTACATGCATTTTTTCTTCCACTCGCTGTTGTGGAGCAGTTATGAAATATTGTTCTTATACTTTACAGCATTTCAACATTTTTTCCCCCTGTAATATGCATGCAAATTAGCGAAGTGCTGTACGTGTTCAGCAGTGGTCAAAAACTATTTAAAATTTAATTTTGAATGGATTTCTTCTTGAAAACTCAGAGATGTGGATTCGGACGGCAAATTAAATTACCACAGGGGACATTGGTGTCAAAAACAGTAGGTATTATGCTGGGGATTTTTACACTAAATCACCGACGTCCCATGTAAATGCTGAAAATCGCTTATTCCCATGAGAAACAATTATCTTCAGAATCTTTGAAAGAATGTAAGGTTAGACAGATTTTTATGTCGAGGACATTTTTGGAATATCAGCGTGACATTTACACGCGCTCCTCTTCCATTCTTACACAAGAAACGAATGCTTATATATACAATGTTTAAAATACTATACTGCCTAAAAGGTGAATGTGTTTTGCAAAAAAAGGGTTAATTCAAAATATAGCCTATGGTCCATATCTCAGATACACTTAGAACTGAACTATCATAACAGTGTAATTTTAATTACCTTATCCGTCGTCGTGATGCCGGTGAACTGCAGAACTGGTGCAAACATATCCACATTGCTATGATCAGATACTTTCTTAGCTTCTGCTTTCTCACCTCTGCCATTTTGTTGTGTGTTTATCTTGAGAGGAAAGTATGTGAGAGAGAGCAAGTGCAACTCGCGGCAGCTGCACTTCCGGTGGCATGTTTGTGGCAGCTGCTGTTTTTTACTAGATAAACTATATTATCAGCACACAGCACATATTTACATATTCATCTAAACCTTGCTCTCAGTAGTGTGGACAACATCAGGAGTTCGTTAACAGTGTCGTTGCCAATTTATTTCCAACATTATTTTACTTCTAAGCAAAGAACAAAAAAAAAGAACTTCACCGTGAGTATATCGGGCATGGAATCGCCTTTAGTCTCACTAGGGCAAGCACAAGCAAGCAAGTTGCTGGCTGCAGTTCACTTAATGGCCACCGCTAATAGGAAGGGTTTCTGAATTCTACATACAGCCCCTTGACTGTTAAAAACAATTAGAACATGAAAAGGACACTAGAGCTGTTACACTGCAGTTTGCAACTAAACATTATGTATTTGATCATGATTAGTACAGTTGTTTTGAGGTTAAAGATAGAACAGTGCTTCAGGATCCAGACTTTACCTTGGACATCCAGTAGCGACCCATCATAGTAGTAAAACTGTTGCTATGCTATCTGTGGTTTTGCCGCATTTTATTATTTGCATTGAGCACTGACTGCCATAAAACTGTCTCTGAAATGCTTTTGAAATGTTTTTCTCCATCAGAATCCTCAGAGAGCTTTTTAGGCAGCACCCATTCTCCTGTGAAGTATGCGTAGAATACTCAAGACTAGCATTGAACATACGGTCATGCTGGAAGATCATTTTATATAATGCATCTATGGGTAGACGCCCTGTTGGGTCAGCATGCTTCATGGCAGTCAGTGGCATGTACAAACGATTGGTCTGATGACGAAATGGAGGGTTTTTGGACACAATCAGCTGGAGAGTTTGCTGTAAGAAAAAAAAGAGACATTTCTCTGTCACTCAGTTGAACAGGGAGCCTTAACGAATAACAGAACAGCCCATCCACACACTCACCTCTGCCACTTCCTCAGGTGTCTGCCCGACTGAGTTAAAAACTTTATGTGAATATTTAAGGTAGATCTGACGGAAGATGCGAGCTGTCTCCTCGTCAGTCTCTGAGAGATCCATCTTCTCTGCCTCTTCATACACTTTCTTCTCAAATTCAGTTACAACTGGGCCTGGCTCCACTAACGTCATCCTGTGAGATTTGTATATAAGCCACACTTACAATGCATTAATTGGATCATTTATGGATCATAAGTGATCCATGGTTTATGGATCATTAACATAATATAGTGAATTTAAAAAAATACTGTATATAGTTTCAAGAAAGACAAAGGTATTTAGACACTTTGTGGTTGTTGCATGTTTACCCTTCGCATACTTGTAATTAGAGTTGTTATTATAAAAATAATATAATTAAGTGTGAATTGAATGTTTCAATTTTCGGATGCTTAAATGCATGACGTTGCAATTTAATACATTTAAAATATAAACTTTACATGTAATCTCAAACAATACGCTATAATTAAAATTTTAATGAAGTACTTTACATGTGCTTTAGTCTGTTAGTCAACACATAAAAATAAATGTAATTCTTTAAAGCATGACAAAAGACCTTAAAGTAATACTTTTAATTTGACTTTATTACAAAGTGCACATTTTAAAAATGTACTTAAGTGTGTTAAGAAACAGTTATGAAAGTGTATTTTCTTTAATTATGTAGTGTATATTCACTTAAGTGGCCTTTTATTTCATTAATATTATATTACCTGCACACTAGAATGGAACATTCACTAAAAATCACTTTGAGACCAGCTGATTAAAAGTGAATTTACCTTATTTAGGTAACCTAGCCTTTTTTATCAGTTTGCTAGGACATTTGTTTTATTTTGTACTCACTTGACATTGAACTTCATAGCTTGCACAGCAAGACTCTCACAAAACCCCTCTACAGCAAATTTAGAGGCAGCATATACATCATTGAAAAATAGTCCTGAAAAAAAAAAAAAAAGAGTACTCTAAAAATATATTTTTTTAAACAGTAATTTTATGGTTCTTTCAGTTGAATATATACGGCTTATAATAAATGAGCTATGTGGTATTACCCTGGATTCCCAGGACGCTGCTCATCACTACGATGTGTCCACTCTGACGCCGCTTCATGTCAGGCAGCAGTTCCTTTTCCAGTCTCACCAGCCCAAAGAAGTTAGTGTTGAAGAGTTCCTGCATAGCGCTTACATTCTGACACTCCAAAGGACCAATCATACCCACACCGGCATTATTCACTACAAAACAGTGTGGTAGAGTCTAAATCAAACAGTATGTGTGAAAACAAAAAGATATGATTATGCTTTTTTTTTTAGAAACATCAGCAGCAAATCTAGCACCAAACATTTGGTGTGTATATGTATACAGTGGGTACGGAACTGATACAAGTGATGCAAATTTGAGCATTAAATTTAGCTGATGAACACCGTGTGGTAACACAAATGTTGAATATTGCACAAATGTGGTATTAAAAACTTACTATTTTTATTGAAAAGCTTTTAGTCAAGTCAAAAGACACTCAATTTTTGGTCATATCGCTATGAAGCTGCATTGCTCAGAAACAAAGATGAAGTGAATGAAGGGAATTTTAATTGGAAAGGAAACTCTTAATGTCACCTAACACATCCACTTGTTGATTTGGCAAGCTGTTCACACACTCTCTGATAGAGTCCTCACAGGTGGCATCCAGCTGTCGGATCTCCAGGGATCTGTTGAGGGATTCTCCAGCTGCTCTCTCCAGAGCTTCTCTCTTATCCAGGTCCCTCATAGTGGCCACAACTAACTCAGGCACAATCAATAGTAAGACTTAAAACATTAACAACATTGTTACGTCATATTACACTTACCTGTTCATTATCTAATGTACATTCTGTAAGAATATTGTTCCATCATGTTCCAACATTCTAGTAGCTATGATTAACTAACAACAAACTTTACCTAACCAATTAGCAAGTAATAGCACTATTAAATGCAAACAGTTTTTTTTAGGCTGATAATTCAAAATGCTCCCGTATGATACAGTGTTAAGTTCAGAGGGACACCAGAAAATTGACCACAGGAGTAAGTTGCAAAAAAACTGCAATTAAATATCAGTTTCTTTGAAATTGTCCATAGCCTGTTATTAGTTCTGCAAAAATAAAAATAAAAAACCAATAAAATGTACTAATTATTAACATATTATTATCTATTGATTCTGTAAGTGATTACATGTTAATGTCAAAATCAAATTAAAAAATAATTTGTCCTGCGTTAGTTATTGATTAGTTTCACATTAATTATAAAACTGTATGTAGTCCCCTGGGAGGCATGAAAAAATACAGTAGAAGTTACTGATTAGCTAATAGTGAACTACCACATTCAACTGAGTGCTACTTACTAATGCATTAATCTCAGTTTCATGTTAATTAATAGTAGTTACTAGAATGTTAATATTGTTTTACTTATTTGTTCCTTTGCTAGTTAGTTATCATCGAAGGAACAGTATTTGAAACTGTTCCTTTGTAATGTTGAAACTTTGAGTTATATACACATGCATATTTATAAAATTCTAATAGGCGTTTTACATTCATATACAGTCTTCTTACCTTTGAAGCGCCTTAATTTATCTTTTGCAAGACGGACAGCCAACGCCAAACCAATTCCAGAGGAGCATCCTGTCACCAAAATCTTTCGTGTCCCCATAACTTTCGTTCAAGGATGATTTCTAATCTGAAACCATTTACAAAGCATTAAACTTTAGTAACACTATATTTGCCATAGCTATAGCCAATTTTCTGTTCAGAATCACAACCATTTTATGACCATCTTTCTTTGGTACGTTAATCTCAGTTACACATGGGTCAAAGACGTTAAAATGTCCGCATCAAAAGAAATGTACAAAAGTGTTTTATATTCATAGAAAGCACATTAAAAGTAAGTAATGTGTCTACTTTTAAGGTTTCAAATAAGTTTTTGGAGAATAAAATGTCAAGATTTGGTTTAAATAATGTTAAATTGTCATTCAGTGTAACACAATATTTATGTAAAAATTCAAACAACATGCTTATTCATTATTGTACATATTAAAATATATAAAAGAATAAGGGAGCATATGAAATGTTATTGTGTTTTAAATGAGTAAACCATTCTTACTGACCAATGGGCAAAACCTAGGATAGAGGCAAATTTTACAAATGTAAAATTACAACTAATTAGTATTTGGGGTGAAAGTAATTAGTCTTTTAATATGTCATAAATTGAGTTTTGTTGTAATTATGCCTGACAAGAATGTTACACTGAATGACATTTTAGTCTTCTGTAAATCAGGGAAAATGTAAGATATTTATCTTTTGCTCAGAAAAACAAAATTGCAATTAAATTAAACAGAAAACTTTTTGATCATTTCAGCCCAGCCAAAAATGATATGGGGTTTAAACTATGGTTGAATAAGGGCATTGGGAGGGTGATGGATTTGTATGAAGACAATATTCTAATGTCATTTGACAAGCTTGTAGTGAAGTTCCATTTACCTCGAAAACATTCTTTTAAATATCTGCAAATTAGAAGTTTTATTTTTTCACACCTGAAGAATTCTGCTCAACTCCCCCCAATGTCCTTATTGGAAACATTCTCCACACAAGATTGTCTATCTAAAGGGCGGATTACCGGGGCTTGCCACACTCACGTCCTCGGGGCTTGCCACACTAACTGACGGCTGACTTGACCCGGGAATGGCTGGCAGAGGGGTTCCGGATTGGGATCGGAGACTCTCCAGACACCGGATGATTGTATCCTTCCAGCCGAGGTTGGTGGTGTCTGGGAGCTCCGTGGGATGGTGGAACGTCATCCCGATCCGGAACAGCGTCGCGAGGGTTTCCCCCTCGAGGGAGCTGGCGAGGGCGAGCGGCACAAACGCCCTCGCGAAGACGACGGGGTCTGGGCTCGCTTGAGCCACTGAGATGAACATTAACCGCTCCTCCATATGGGGACGGGGAGGAGCACACGGGAAAAAAGGGCAAAACAAAAACTTACAAAAACCAGAAATCAAACACGGGGAAGGGAGGCCGCTTACAGTTTGGTCCGCTCTTCTGTCACGTTGCACACACACGAGGAACGAGGAGACGCTGGAGAATACTTTACCAAGACTTTATTTGCACCAAGGAACCAAGGGAGACGAACACAGGAAGACATTCAACAGCAGACAGAGAACTTGGGACTGGGAACACTATTTATACACACACACAGGAGGAGGGGATGACGAGACACACCTGGGAGCAATGAAACATCAAGGGAAACACCTGGGACAAATGAACTAAACTAATCAGGACAGGAACAGGAAACTAACCAAATAAGGGCATGGGAAGGCACATGGGGAGCAGGACACACACAAAACATGGAACAGAGTCTGACAGTGTGAAGATATGTAATTTAAATATAACAACAATCAGGATTGTATTCATTTATTTATTTTCTTTTATTTATTTTGCCTGCCAAGGCTTTGTGGCTGTGGGGATGGGGAAGAAGGTTTGATCATAAGTGTTCCTTGTTTACTTGTAAACGTTTTGGAAAAGTTAATAAAGATATGTTTAAAAAAAAAAACAGAAACCTTTTTTTTAAATTTGGGAAAAACAACAACAATTTAAAGCAGTATTTCACTTATTGTTTTTATGCTTAAACCCTTTTTCGTCTTTGACCCACATGTAAATATATTAAGATACAGCACATAGCAACAATGCCACGTACATTTACAAGCTCTTAAAAATGCAAAGGTCAGTAACTACACTGTAACAAGAGCCCTATATTAAAGCTTCACATTTTTCGTGCTAGGTGAACATTTAAAGGGAAAATAAATGTACAGACAACACCGAAAGGTTTCTGGAGTACGGATTAAATCTTAATCAGATTTTCTCAGCATGAGCGCGCCTCATGATGAGCCCGTTTTAACTGGTCAGTAGAGATTTGATACATTTCACATCTAAAACCGCATGCCAAGTGTTATGTTTTATAAAGGTCGTCTCGTTTTAATATTAAGCTTTCAAAAATGACAGTGACGACAGTTGCACTGCGTGAAAAACAAAAGCACACAACCTGTTTGAGGTGTTCTGGGACATGCACTTACTGAATGCAGTTAAACTGTCCGTTCTGCAGCATGTACAGTCCTGTGTCCTTTTCACAGACCTCTTGTCATCCATAAACTCCTTTCAGCCGGAACGCATGAGTTCTGCACAAGAGCCGCACTGTGAAAACAAGTCATGTGCAGAGGTCGCGTTTGCGTTCAGAGAACCCTGGGATTTGAAGTCATTGACTGTATAACAACAACAACAATAATAATAATAATAACAATAGGCTAGTAGTAATAACATTATTATTATTATTATCGTCATCATCATATAGGCATAGAATAATATATGCCCTAAATTGTTTTGAAGCGGTTTAATACTATACTGCGTTTCCCAAAAGCATCGTAAAACCAATGAAACCAAATGGAGCCACGATCAATTTAAGCTTACGAAGCTTTTGGGAAACGCAGCCCTGAATGATTCTTTTTAATTATCTCTGATAATGATTCAAGAGATCCGAATTACTCCATGAATCCAAATCCTCACTACAAATTTGCATGAACAGTCGAGAGTGCTTTTATTTTGTGCTCGGTTTACAGCTGTATTGTGGCGACCTCTAGTGGTCATTATGTATTTTTAATCAAACTGAAAGTGACATATCACACTAACTAACATACACTACTAACAAACACTAACACACTGAAAGCTCTACAGGTAACGGTGTCACAGTATAAGAGGTTTAGCGCTGTCATTACAGGTACTAAAACCACACCAAGAGATGAGTCGAATGCGTGAAGAAGTGGAGGTACAGTATTTGCTATTCGTATAAACATATTACAGTTAGATGGCGTATGATATTTTGGATACAATATGACACGCTATGAACCTCTTAACTGGCTAATCATGTTAAAAACATGCTAATCATGCTAGAAACATGTTATCAACATCTATCTAATCTACCTACATTTTCAAACTTCAGGCTGTTTTTACAACTGCTTTAAACTTTCAGGCTAGGCTTTCTCAAGCCAACCTAAAGTTTGTCTTGATGAACTTTTTTATCTAGTTCATAAACGCTTTAGAATACAGACCTAAGGTTGGTCTCTTTTTAAAGAAGACAGTCTGCAGATTATTGCAGAAGTGAAATCATTTCAAAAAATGAAAGCATAAAAAATGTTATAGAAGTTTAAATTTACAGTAAATAAAATGTACTGTACTATTTTTATTGTATTTTATATAAAATAAATATTTTATAAAATGTGTTTTAATCCAAAATTGCTATAAAATTAAAGCCATGTCTAAATAAGTTGTGTTCCAAATTTGAAGTTGATACAAAAAAATTGAGGTTCTATGCAATTTTGTTTAGGCGTTATACCACAAACAGCCACCGGGTGCCATCCAAACGCCATTTAATTTTTTGATGCATTTTTCTGTCACAAATGTATCAATTTCTCTCTCAATTTTATGTCTGTGACAAAATAGCCGAATATGGAATCTTGAGACTCGGACCTTTCCAACGATATGTATTTTGTCAAGATTATGAAAAGTTTTGATTCTAAAAGACCGTAATACATTTGGAATATGACACCTCCCACTAAGGGGGAGGAGGAGCCCGCTAAAAGATTTTAAAGTACCATTTCCATGGTAAGGCAATGTCCGATTTCAAAATGGTTTTGACAGGATGAATTTCGAGGTTTTAAGCTTTCAAATGATATATAATTTTTGATGATTACTAAAACATGTAATAGGGAAACAAGAAACGAAAAATAATTTTTGTGACACAGGTCAGAACTCGTGTTATGATGTATATGTTTTGAGGTGCACTCTTGTCATAAATTAATCTATTACTGTTCCTACATAATGTTTAACAACAAACAGTGGTAAAATATCTATTTAGGAGTCTTAGACCTTTCCAACGATATATAGTTTGTTATGATTAGATTAGGATTTAATTGTAATATATTGAAGTAAACTTATACGGGACAGTGACAGTTAAAGGTGGGGTAAGCGAGTTCTGGTAGCCAATGTTGACATTGAAATGACCAAAACAAACACGCTCCTACCCCAAAAGTGTCTCGGCCCTATTTTGATAGCTCCGCCCCACACATACGTACACAACCCAGACAACGATTAGTTCTGTGAAACAAAGCAAAGCCAATGTTACACCGTTTCTACACCGGACGTGAGTGGCACGGCGCGACAAAATACTATAGAACTCATTATAATCAGTAATACTGTCTACACCATAGATATATATACATATGTATGGTCTACACTGGATGCGGCGCGACACGACACGACAAATCCCCGACAGAAAACTGCTGCTGCATTCTATTCATGACGTATTGACACAAATTTCAAATGATTTTCAACGGTTGCTTTGTCGCGTCCAGTGAACTAGACAGACTTTAGCTGTTGCGGCGCAGACACGGTGTTACTCACCTATCGAGAAGAAACAAAGCAACCTCGGTGTCCGATCGCAGGCCTCCTTGAGTTCTCTCCAGCGCTGGAAAGCTGATCCGATATATGACACTTGACACCGCCCACTAAGGGGGAGGAGCCCGCTAAAAGATTTTAAAGTACCATTTCCATGGTAAGGCAATGTCCGATTTCAAAATGGTTTTGACAGGATGAATTTCGAGGTTTTAAGCTTTCAAATGATATATAATTTTTGATGATTACTAAAACATGTAATAGGGAAACAAGAAACGAAAAATAATTTTTGTGACACAGGTCAGAACTCGTGTTATGATGTATATGTTTTGAGGTGCACTCTTGTCATAAATTAATCTATTACTGTTCCTACATAATGTTTAACAACAAACAGTTGTAAATATCTATTTAGGAGTCTTAGACCTTTCCAACGATATATAGTTTGTTATGATTAGATTAGGATTTAATTGTAATATATTGAAGTAAACTTATACGGGACAGTGACAGTTAAAGGTGGGGTAAGCGAGTTCTGGTAGCCAATGTTGACATTGAAATGACCAAAACAAACACGCTCCTACCCCAAAAGTGTCTCGGCCCTATTTTGATAGCTCCGCCCCACACATACGTACACAACCCAGACAACGATTAGTTCTGTGAAACAAAGCAAAGCCAATGTTACACCGTTTCTACACCGGACGTGAGTGGCACGGCGCGACAAAATACTATAGAACTCATTATAATCAGTAATACTGTCTACACCATAGATATATATACATATGTATGGTCTACACTGGATGCGGCGCGACACGACACGACAAATCCCCGACAGAAAACTGCTGCTGCATTCTATTCATGACGTATTGACACAAATTTCAAATGATTTTCAACGGTTGCTTTGTCGCGTCCAGTGAACTAGACAGACTTTAGCTGTTGCGGCGCAGACACGGTGTTACTCACCTATCGAGAAGAAACAAAGCAACCTCGGTGTCCGATCGCAGGCCTCCTTGAGTTCTCTCCAGCGCTGGAAAGCTGATCCGATATTTACACGGGTCCTACTTCTTGCCTTCAGCCTTCTTTTGTTCCGCAGACGTTTTCCTCTTTTGTTTTTTTATCCGCCATCTCTATCTTTCTGTCGCTCGGCTCGGCTAATGTCCGTCCTGTGCACTGAACGCTCTCTCCTCCACATCATGAGTAGACACGCCCCTTACTGCTGATTGGCTACAAGTTTGTTTTGTTATTCGGCCCGAATCAGTTTTCTAAAGCGTTTTTGAAAAATCACTTACCCCACCTTTAAGGGGTTAAAGGAAGTATAGTGCAGTAACTTCCTCAACAGTCATAGTGCATATTGTATGTAGGTTAAAAAACGGATTGATGTTTTCCTGCATATAAAATCCCCTTTGTATTAATTTTAAAGACCACACAGGAGTCTCTCACTCAGTTTTATACAGTGTGGTTGTTCTTTCATGTAAAGATAAATACATGTAAATATTCTCTCTCTCTCTCTCTCTCGACTTAGTTGGAAAAAAGTGTGAGGCGACTGAGAGAGAAGTTTCATGGACTTATTGAAATTGACAAGGCTGTATTGCTTATGCGACGCTATGGAAACAACCATCATATGGTTGCAATGTGTGTCGCCCTGATGGCAGATAACGACAGGGGTAAAGTGCAAACCTTTTCTTTTTAGAACCATGTGTATCATTTGCCGTTACTCACGTTTTAAGTTTGTGTTTGTGTTTGTATAGACTGCACGTCTTATTTATTTAATCAAGGTGTTACAGTAGGCGTTAATTATATACAGTATTCAGACCACGAATATCAATCAATAAAAGTAATGTTAAAATATGTTAACTTCCTGGAACACTGCAAACCACTGTATTTTTTGTATTGAGCCATAAGATCAATACACTTAAGGCCTGCAAAGTTAAGTGTGGTTACAATTCATTCGTACAATTGTACTATTCATTTTCTTTAAAAGCCAACATGAAATCTAAATTTGCTCTGCTTTAAATATGCTCTGCTTCTAAGAGGACTTTGACTTTATTTTCGACTGATGTCACCTGTGCAAGTTATTGGTAAATAATAGCCAAATTATCATTTAGGTATTGTGTTAGCACAGTAACTTAATGCTAGTTAACATTTTATATTATACATTTTACAGAAATAATAGCAAATAGATTTGAAAATTAGTTCTAGGAGGATTCTGCATTCAGGACCCATTCTGGTATGGATCAACATTTTAACGTAAAATTTCTTCCGAGTAAACATCCAGCATCTTTGGGAACTATACAATGGTGTGTAAAAGTCTGAGACCACTAGTGTAAATGCTTCTGCTCTGTTGAAAATGTCTCATTTAAAACAATATTTTCATTACAAATTATATTAAAGGAATATTTTACCTTCAAAATTTAAAATTGATTAAAATGTACTCACCCTCAGGCCATCCAAGATGTAGATGAGTTTGTTTCTTCATCGGAACAGATTTGGAGAAATTTAGCATTACATCAGCATTACAATGGATCCTCTGCAGTGAATGGGTGCCGTCAGAATGAGAGTCCAAACAGCTGATAAAAACATCACAATAATCCACAAGTAATCCACACAACTAGTTGAGAATTAATGTCTTGACAAGCGAAATGATGCTTGTTGTAAGAAACAAATCCATCATTAAAGCATAAAAAAATTAATTACATCAATACTCTGCTTTAATACCAGCTGCAATTAAGTTGCATGAACTCCACAAGTTTCTGTAAAACCTGATGATCATGTTCTCCAGCTTGATTTGAGTTGATCCAACAGCATCAGTAAAAAGCAAGAACATCTGAATGTCTGTTACAAAGAGTTCACACATATTTATTAATCACACATTTATACATCAACATTATACATGGGTTGTGAATGCCATTTCATATTGAGTTGACATATTTTAAAACCGAACTACATTAATATAACCATCTGCATGTTTGTCACTTTACCTAGAGCCCCATGTACCTGGTACCGAATGCGTTCACCCACACAGTAGACAGAAGAACAGGAAGCCACGTGTGGTTTACCTCAGCCCCGCTCACATCAGCAGCGGATCCACTGTCAACACCTGTCTAAGTCCGAGCAGTCTGATAGAAAGCATCAATGAGCTCATTGAAGAAGAGTCTGACAGACTCTGACAGCAGCACAATCAGTTAAACCACTTACATCACTTCAGCTGTTGCTTTGAATGAAACATCATATCACTTTTGATGTAATTTCAAATAATACACTCAAAGTAACCAATGTATTAAGGCGTAGGCAGCCTGAATTAAATATGTAATGCACTGCAGGCTATATGAACACAGTGCAACACACACCAAACACAGAATGCAGATAAGGAATGATTAACCCTTGAATTATGGATCAATTAATACGCATCCTGAGGTACTACTGCTGCGGTGTGTGTATGCAAGAGTCAGCATTTGTGGTTCTCAGTGATGCAGGCAATTTACTGAAGTGATATGAAATTATAATGCTAGCAACAAACCAGGAAATACGTGGAAATAGTTGGAATGACTGTCAACCAATCAGAGTCTTGAGCATTCAGCAGTACTGTGATATCATGTTAATTACAGAGCTGATGTGAACAGACAAGTCCAGATTTTGTTTTTAATGTCACTCATATCCTACGTTCGGTACGTCCTTTCCTTATTCTTTGAATTGCATTATACTGTTGTTTAGTACATTTATTTGCATATTTAAATTAGTATGTTGCCCCCACACATGACTAATGATCACTTTTGTGTTATTGTTAACTTCTCATCAATGGATTCATGAAGCCACACAAGAATAGTCATCTGTAACACTTTTTAATAAAGTTACATTTGTTGACATAGTTAACATTATTTACTAGAAACTAACAAACAATACTTCTAAAGCATATTTTTAACTAATATTTACTTAAATCTTAGTTAAGATTAATCTAGGCATTTAAAGAGGTTTAATTTCGAAAGTTGTATCTGTTAATATTGGTTAATACACTGTGATCTAAAATGAAAATGAACATTTTATTAACATTAAGGTTAGTAAATGCTGTAAAATATACTGTTTCAATGTTAGTTAATGCATTAGCATATGTTAACAAGTAAGACCTTTTTGTAAAGTGTTTCCTAGTCTTCAGTTTACACACGACACCAAAGAACAGTATTCCAACTAATCAGTTTGATTTTTCAACTTTCAAAATGTACTAGTTGTTTTTCCTAGGTTCAGATTTCTCTATAATCCTCCGTTTTGTCAGAGATTACACTTCACACAACTAACAAATACAGGCACTTAAGAAGAAAAAGCAGACAGCTCCTGATGAATAAAACAGATCCGCTGTTATGTCACTCTTGCATAACAACTGTCAAACACACATAAGAGTTGCATGGCGAACTCTAATACTTCCCGAATGAAGATTTCAGGAACATCTGCAGGGGGAAATTATGGCCAAAGACAAACAATGTGTTAAACCTACTATTAATGTGTCAAAATAAAAATGATCTGGAATAAACGTGGATGATTTATGAGCAATTTGTCATAATTTTGCATAATGTTGTCTTTGCGTAACTGCATTGATGAATAATCATACCAATAATCATAGATGTTTAGAGAACTTTTTTATGTAAAGTGAACTGTACAATGCATGAAACAGGACACTCAGCTACACCCAGCACTTGTACAACCATTACAAAACCCTAAACAAACGATATCAGATAGCACCAGTGCTGTACAGGAGACAAAGAGCTAAACCTTTGAAGATATCCTGAATTGAACATAAAGAACTATTTGGGCATTAAATGAAAAAACACAATTCTGGGTGTCAAAGGATTTTGCTTCACCCATAAAACAAACAAGTTTTATTTTAAAATTAAATGTATTTTTAAATTATTTTAAATTATTATTTACTTCGAACTTTTACACTCTGACAAAACTACAGTTTAACGATCTAAATGTCTGTTACATTTCAAACTATGCATCCATAAATAATTCTGTCTTAAACCATTACTTAATTAGATGTCCTTGAAGAGATATTAAAACCAAATGGCAAAATATTTGCATTTATTGTACTGTCTATATGGGTCAACGACCTCTGTCCATTTATCAAAGGCTTAAATTGCAGCTGGTCACCTGAAAAAATATTCCTCTTCTACTCTAAAATGTTAAGCAATTTTGACATTTAGCCTACTTAAACATCTGGATGACTGTTACATTCACTACTGCACACCATGAACAGAGCTGTGGTCAGTCTGTGGTCAAAGGTTCTGTTTGCTTATTTTACATCAGTGCTTTGATATGTCATTGACAGATTGACCATATTGATCGAATGTCATACACGAAGATTCAGTTTAGTTTTGAATGAAATCCAGAAGTTATTGTGTAACAACCTCATGAGAACCCCATCTACCCTTAAAAGCCAACTTTGTTTTCCCAGTATATACTCACAAACAAGCCATTGCATAAAAATGAAAGCAATGCAAAGCTGTAATTAATGCTGTGCATATGAAAGTATGTCTGTCAATATACTGTACACTCTTAAAAATAATGTTTCTTTATAGGCATTCATGAAAAACCTTTCAACAGTCATGAAACCTGTTCGTTCCACAAAAGGTTCTTTATAGTGGAAAAAAAAAACGCTTTTTAGACCATTTTTAGAACAACAACAACAAAACTTTAGGAATCATTGCTTTAAGATTGTATGGATAGACATGGCTATTTGACAATCAAATAATAATAAAAAAAAAAGATGAAATACTGTCCCTGGTGGATAAGACAAACTCTTACTTAACATGCTTACATGACTGCAGGGTTGGGGTGTGTCTTGAAGGAGGGTACAGATTTCATAACGTTGCATGAATAAATAACAGCTTGCAGGCGCACGTGAGCATACTTCCTCTCTGCACAGCTTCAAGCTACAACATGTAAGTACTGAAGCTTTTACTCTCTTACACCGCTGTACAGTATAAACCACATTAGCACCATAAAAAGGACTTCAAACATGTTACTGCTAGAGTTCCCTAAAAGTAACCTCATTTTTTCTGTTTTTAATGTTTTAAAGGATTTGTCTGACAGGATTGATCTTGCTGCTCTTTGCAGTGGCAGTAGATGGAAGAGTTGGGTGAGATTCATTTTTACTTCCCTTGCAGCTGTAGAATAGCCACACCACAAAGATTATATGTGCATTGTTGTGTATAGGTCAAGTTTAATGTATTGTGTTTGCATCTCTCAGGAACTCCACTAGTGAATCCAGTTACTGCACAGAGACAAAAGAGTGCTTTCTGTTTGACTTGGTTTGTGCAGGAGATGGTTATGAGGTGAGATAACAAGATAGCACAAACATGAAAGAGTAAAGAGATCACAAAAAATTTAAAAGACAAGCTCAAACAGATCGTGGAAATGAGATGAAGTGCTCTATTCCTACAGGTACGCCACTATGATGCTGCTAAGTGGGTGACCACAGAAGTTGAATCCTATTTCATGGAAATTGCAACTTCAAGAGCGTTCAGGAAACTTTATAAATACATCACTGGAGAAAATGAGGCTGGTGAGTTTGTTTGGGGGTCAACTTTTTAAGGGGTCAAACATTGTGGAGGACCAAATGTCCTTAAGGACATTAAAACCTGTAAGGGACTTTTAAATAAAAAATTAAAATTTCCTCATTATTTACTCATCCTCATGCGTCCCAGATGTATAACTTTCTTTCTTCAGATGAACATAAATAAAGATATATAGGAAAATAACCCATGTCTGTGAGTCCAAATTTTGCAACATTCTGTAAATGTGCTAGAAAAATGTGCATTAAATTGTAAAGCTATCCAGTGTCCAGTAATGAATTGAAATAGCATGACAAATACCAGTTTGCAATATCAAGCAGCATAACGGACTGTTTTGTGAAGCTAATGAAGGAAGCCTCGCATATTCAAGTTACAAACAGCCGCATCCGCTCTTATAATGCTTTGTACAGGACCTCTAAAGCTTCAAAAACCACTCAAAGTGAACACAACGGGAATACGACCCCAGCTGATGAAATAATGTCTTCTGTAGCAAAACGACTGGTATGGTTATTATTATTATTATTATTATTATTAAAAATCTTTGTTTGTGTTCATCTGAAGATTATGCATTCAGTATTTTTTTTCTACTTTCGATTGAAAACACATGATGTTAAAGGCTGCACTGCCATCTATCGACATGTGGAGTTTTTTGTAAACTGCACTAATACTTTTTAGTTTTTTAGTTTAGTTTAGAGAACGGTCTACACCATAATTAATTGCCTTATATGTCCAACAAAAAGGAAAGGATTCTCTCCATCATCTCACTACCTGTGTGCCGCACTGATGTTTATACTCGTTTTTTGTCAGTCTTTCTTCTGCCTTCGAACCTCTTTGGTTCTTCAGCTGTAACTTACAGGTAGGCCTACTGATCGTTGTTTCAGTAATTAGCATTTCAATGTCTAATTTTCACTCTTCGCATCACCAGACGACACATTGCTACACATTTTATAAGTGTACAAGTATTAATATAAGTACAGTCTTCATCTCATGTGAGTGTACACCATTCAGATGACTCTTTATTTCTTAATATGTTTCAATTAGCAACAAACTGCTAATGCACTTCAATTAAAACATAGCAATGAAGAAAATATTTAACGTTCATTGGAAGCGAGGTTCCCACAAAAAAAAGAAAAACCATCAAATTTATCCTTATAATCAAATTATAACCCTTATTTTCCAGGTGCAAAGATTGACATGACTGCACCAGTCCTCATTAAAGTCAATGATAGCGCGAGCATGTGGCAGTCAGCAGTCTATGGTCTCAGCTTCCTCCTGCCCTCCAAATACCAGGCCAATCCACCCAAACCTACTGATCCATCTGTGAGTCTCATTGATATTTTCTGTGATTTCTATTTAACTGAAAGTTGTTGTTTTTTTAAACTTGTTCCTGCACTTTATTTGTAGGTGTACTTAACAGACACTCCGGATATGAAAGTATATGTCAAGAGCTACGGGGGCTGGATGATGTCACTTGTGGCCAAATCACAGGCTGACAGTCTGAAGACATCGCTGGACAATGTACAAGCTACTTATGAGACAGAGTACCACTATAATGTCGGCTATAACAGGTGCACTTAGTTTACCTCCTTTCTGCCAGTAACGTTCTCTAATTTCAGTAATTCTTATGTTTATTGTATTGTGTATGTGTGTTTTTCAGCCCAATGAAGATTATGAACAGACACAATGAGGCATGGTTTATTGTTAAGGGTGAGCCTGTGTGTCCTAGGAGTGGATAATTTCTTTGAGCTTCCTCTCTAACAAGTCTTTTAAAGGTAAATGATTCATTTGAATAAGAAAATGAATTCTTTTTATAATTAATAATAGGATAACTATGTCTAATGTCTAACTAGACATTTATTTGTCA